CTAAATTCTGAAAGAAGGGAATGGGTGGAGAAAAGAAAAAGAGTTGTATATAATGCAACAGATAGTAAAATCTAGCGTAACAGAATCCACATTACTCTTTAAATGCTTCAATTTCTCTTCCGAACAAATCTATAACTTGTCTAAAATACTGAATTTGTGTTATGAATTAGTACTTGTACCATAGAAAGGAGAAGAATTAAAATTATATAAGCATGAATTCGTAAGGTAGCAGTAAAGATAATGTAACTTACTTATGCAAAAAGTATTTCCCATGAAATAAAGTTTAATATATTAGAATTGTGATTTTAGGAAGGTCTGTATGATATTTTTGTTTTTATTAAGGTGAAATATTTTTTGATATTTATACTGCACATTATATCAATAGTAAAAGTACCTTAAGTAATTTTGAAAATAGATCCGGGGGATTTAATGCTTGGTATGTATATACTTATAACCATTTATTTTGTTAATTCAGTTGTAAGAAATATATTGGGAAGGAGTGGGACAGCTCCAAAACCTCAGTTCATGCTCCAGGGCACTCTGATGAGCGTGGCTCCAGTTCCGCTCTGGCTACGGAGCATAGGTAAAAAAACTAGCCATCTCCGCTACGACTTCAAGTTATAGAGCTGGTTTTGGAGCCGGAGCTCGACCAAACCTGCTTAAATATATGGAGGAACTCGGAACAATAATCACGTTTGTCAAAAATGATGCTGAGTATGTTAGCATACAAGTGTAAGAAATATATACAAATAAATTGTACGTGAGGACTTTATGTGTCTAAGCTAAAATAATCATACTTTCTGCAATAATGATATAAAAATATATATTACAAGTGGATTTACATTATCGTAATTCACTTTTTAAACTGCGCATATACTTACTGTTTACTTCATTATATATATATATATATGTTGTTTAGCTCGAATGATATACAAATTGTCAACTGGATATATTGTTCGAATTATATTGTAAAATTATACGTGTTAATTATTTTTGGTTAATGAGCAACTGTTCATTAACTGCTCCATCCATGCAAAGATATATTGGTCTGAAGAGTTGTTTTTCAGATCACAGAAAAACTATATATATTTTAAAATAATTCTTTCTGATAACGTAGAGAAGAATTGGAGTAATCGGAATACTTATCACATGTAGCAGTTAGTGCTATTTAAGCGCCCCGTCCAGACAAATATATGCTGGTCTGAACAGTTTTATTTTGTTTGAAAAGTTACAGAAAAAACAAAATAAATTTGGAGATAATTATTCTTAATTATTGCAGAGGAAAACGGGAGTAATCGAATCACATGTGATAAGTGTCGTTTAATGTTAAATAACTGCCTTGTCCGGACAATTATGTACTGGAGAGTTTACACACACACACATATATATATTACAAAGAAACTATAATACATATAGAATCAACTGTATCTGACTAGTGTAAGAAAAACTGAGGTAACCGAGAAACATGTAACGTGTAGCATATAGTGTTATTTAGGTGCCCAATCTGGACAAATATATGCTGGTCTGGGAGTTTTTGTGTTGTTTTTTTTTGTATGTGTTTGTGTGTGTGATACTACAGAAAAACTAAAATATACTCCTACAAAATAATTTTAAAAAATTATCTCCAAAGCCGTTATTGGTTGTTTTTGATATAAAAATAAACTATCTACACCAGTATATATTTACCTTGACGAGGTAGTTAGTTGATAAAAATTGTTCATTTGTATTTTACATCGCGTCCAGTCTTTTTCTTTCTTTCTCATGAACTCATTTATTCAGCAAAATTCAGTACTGCTCTGTAATGTATATCTTGTTGAATCTCCTGTTATTCAACGGAAATATCCAACTGTTCGAAGTAAAATAAGTTTAACTTGAATATACTACACAAATGAGAAGATATGTACTGAAACTGTCTTCTCATCCGTGTTCAACGGCGTTCACAACAAATTCCTATCTTCCAACGCTTGTAACTTTTTAACTAAGTTATTTCCCCGGGCATATGCATACTTGACTAACAAGTGGTACATTATCTAGGTAAAAAATAAACCATGTCTTACTTATAATAATAGCTTGTTGTTTCAATACTAGTAAGTTTTGAACTAAATAGTTTTCTAACTCAAATTTATGCACAGTTTTCTTAACAAGTATGTAATTAGGCCATCAGGCAGCTCTTCAAACGGGAGACAGACGAACCCTCGGACAGACACCACGGTTCGCAATATATTTAAAATTGCCCGGGCTGATTCTTTAATACCAATCAGCTTTTGTAGGTCAACCATGACTAACAACTGGTACATTATCCAGATTCTTAGTAAAAATAACAATAATCACTTATTGTTTCACTATTGTAACTTTTGAACTAATTAGTTTTCCAAATCAAACTTACGCATAGTTTTCTTAAGCAATATGTGGTTAGGTCACACATGACTAACAACTGATACAGTATCCAAATTCTCCACAAAAACAAAACAAAACATGCCTCACGTATAACAGTGGTCCATGTTTCAACAGTTTGAACTTGTTAACTAAATGCTTTTACCCAAATCATATGCACCCATAGTTTTCTTGTTGTTTGTTTATTTTTTAAAGAAAGATATATATGTCACATACGACTGATAGCTGGTACAGTCACCAGATTTAAACAAAATCTGAGATAACAAAGAATTTGTGCAAAAGAAGTTAATTGTTTGAAAGTGTACAATATATTCAGGTAAACTAAATTCAAATATTATTTTAATTTATATTTTTGTTATATATAATAAATGTCTTATGAAAATAATGCGTGAATGTGATTTGTGAAAGGTATTTAATTCAAAAGTTTCAACTGTTGAAACATAAGTCATAGTTACATGTGATAGATGATTAAATTTTATGTTTTGTTTGTTTTTGTTGTCGTTGTTTTTATGTAGAATCTAGAGACTGTACCATTGGTTAAACACATATATGTGACATTCTGACATATATCTTAAGAAAACTACTGTTACGTCTCTGTTCGTTAGTTAATTTCCCGTATAATTTCTTTCCGATGAAACTTTAGCAACACAAGTCCTTTCTTAAATAAAACTAGTTTATTCTTTCTCAATACAACATAGTCACGCTATAATTTAACAAACGGTATAATTCACAACGAACGACTCACGCGCTCGACCCAACTGTTTGTCTCTATCTCTGTCTGCAATTCAACTACATTGTTGCCGTCAGTTCTGGGCGATCTTATATACAAGAATACCGTACATCTAGTAAACACTCGAAGCTTCAGGAAGGGACATGAATTTTCTAGAAGTTCATGACGTGTTACTAGCATCACGTGACTTCCGCTGTCGTAACACTACTCTTGTGTTTTTTGTGTCAAAATTTTTAGTTTAAAAGCACAGATGAAACAAAGACCATTGTTATATATTTGACTTGTTTTTGTTTTCGAAGAAGAATTTGGAGGCTGAAACGCTGAAACTACTACTGGTATTGGTAAGTCATGTATGACATACTTACATGTATCTTAAAATTATGTCTGGTTTTGATCTTGAAAAATTATATTTAATTACAAGACAGGCCATTGTTATACATGATACTTTTTTTAAAACAGAGAATCTGGAGACTTTACTAGTTGTTAATGCTAGTCATATATATAATATATTTATCTGTCTTGGTGTTACGTATTGAGAATTTAAAATAGTCCTAAGCTGATATTTTAGTTAATATACGCTATTTGCCAACAAGATTGACACACACCATTTTCGTTTTCACACAAATGCGTTTTAATACATATACAACAGCTCAATTTACAACAACAACAATTATTACGAATAGTTACCACAAGCAATGTTTTATAAACAACAATTTCACTCACTTACAAACAACACAAAATCTTCTTTCTAGTTCAGAGTCTCTTTGATATCCAGGAGTTAACTTGAAGTCGGTGTACGCACAATTGCCGAGAAGCTAGCTAGCTTTGTCAGACACTGAATTGTTGGACCTTTGGAGTATGATAATATTTTCATAAAACCACTAATGTCCGATGAAAATTCAGTAATACTTTCGGAAAGATACTATCGTATGATGAGAATCCACTGACATTCAAAATTTATAACTGTTCCTGGTTAAATGTAGTATATTTTCCGGTTGATAAGGGTTAGCAAAATTACGGTTTATAGCATACAATGTTATAACAGGTTCCTAGCAGACTTATATGCTCTCTCCCTTGGCCTTGGTTTTTTTATATGGGCGGGAAATGTTTTTCTCGAACGTTCGGACAATACTGAACTATATTTACCCCCTTACGGAAGTGGATATATTGTCGATTCTTGCGTTCGCGAATATTCTACAATCTTGGAGAAATCGTGAAAGTTTCGCCATACATAACTAACACTGTAAGCTAGGTGAGTTTTTACTTATAAACTTAATCACAACAAACGTTGTCATTAAAATAAATATATAACAAATTCGTTACACGCAATACATATTCAACACTATAAGTTATGCATATTTCT